AGATTTTTTAGTAAATTATGTTGTCCATCCGTGGGTAATTGCAGTTTAATATAATTATTAAAACATACTAGCTGATGTGGCTAAGAATGTAGTCTTCGTTGTAAAAATTGATAAGACAGTTAAGATGTGTATATTTATCATTTTTAAGTATATATACACGGATAGCGTAATGGTTTGAGCGGTCGCCACGCCGATTACTACTACGCAGAGTGTTGTGGGTCCGATCCCCACATGGGACGACACTTTGTGTGATCCAAAAATTATTGTTCTGAGTCTTGGTGTTCTATGCATCCGTTTCATGTATGTTTGTAAAGTCAACCGGCAATACAGGATTTATACATAGTGCGGGAGTTATCTTTAAAAACAAATCTGGCTTTTGTATTGAAGTTAGCAATATTATGATATTCAAATGATAATAAGATCTATAGTAACGTCAGTAAAATGTTCGCTTACCTCAGCCTTGATTCTTTATTAGAATTAAACCATGGTATGCAGATAAGATTTAGTCCAAACTGCTAAAATTAATGTTGCCAATTAAGTGTCCAAAAGTCTGTATTCAAATTACAAAAAAACTTAATTTACGTAACTGTGATAAAAAGATTTCTAATCATTATAATAAACAGTTGGTTTTCTAGAAAGATCACAAAAACAGATCATTTTTCAAAATTTAACATTAAAACTTGAATTTTGTCCAGTTTTTCATTTACCATCATTTTTGCTCAACAGTCGTCCATGGTCCAACGAAACCAAAAATAAAACACATTTCACTTTACCGCAAATACTTATCCCATAAAATAAACATGCAATTGTTATCTCAATCTTAAATGTTCAACAGAAAAAACAGTTTAAATGGCTCTAGATATAAATGAGTCTTGACGTCTCGTCTATGCTTTCTATCATTTTATTTTATTTCTCCAATTCGATTCCATTTGTCATCATCCAGTAACAAAGATTCGCTCAGTAACAGACCATCAAGTAGTATTCAAGCAAGAATTGAACTGGTGGTAAATATGTCAAGTAACAATAAGGTACCACTGTGTTGAATTGTGAGATTAGTTTTAGATTTAGTTTCTACCAGTTGCAAACTATTTAGTTACAGTGTCTTCAATATATTTTAATACGCCATGAAAGCCGTATTTTAAATCATTTGAATATAAAAGTATCATTCGATTCCTCATTTCTTTTTTTAGATGTATCGATTATTTACTAGTTGTCACTGTTACCGTTGTAATGATATCTGTTAAATGTTGATGTGTATTATTTTTAGTCATAATATTGTTGTATGTACATGTTTAGTAGTATGTATTATTATTTAGTTTATTATTTCCGTGTGGTGACGGATTAAAAATATGGAGTGTCACCACCCCTATTCATCCCGTGGGTGTCGTAAGGGCCGACTAAGGGAGCAAACTGACTCTACAAAGAGAAAGAAAACTTGAAATAAACCCTCCGGCCAGCGTGGTATAGTAGGCCAAAACCTCCTTTCTAAGGAGAGGCCTTTGTCTAGCAGTGGACTGGTAAAGCCTGAGGATGATTATTATTTACAGTATTAGCGACTGGTAGTTGCTGGTAGTAAAGCCATCCGAAGGTTGTCTGGAGATGGGTTTTAGTGATAAGACTACCCATTATACGTAACGTTAGTACCATTTAAGTTTTTTTAATCGATGTAATGTACTAAACTGTAAATTAATCATGTAATGTACTATAAACTTTTATTATTTCTTTAAATGTTATGTAATAAAGCTACGTTTAAACGATACAGTATCAATTTATATTTTAAATAAACTCAGTGGGGGTCATTTCTATTTTTATCTAGAAGTTAGGCAATAAGTTTATAAAAATATTGTAACGAATTGATTATTTACTAGTTATCGAGTAGAGAAAGAAATGTTAGTGAAATCGGTTGACATTTTTACCGATGTAGGTGTACTTTTGCTTGTGACTTTTCATTCTGATGAATAATCTTTAAAGAGAAAGATAAAGAAATATAAAAAAGAGCACAGATTAAACAATTCCTGCCTCTTGAGCTCTCTAATCTACAGTTATTTTAAAACTTTTAGATTCATTCACATGCTAAGTATGCGGTTAAAATAACTTTTGACTAAGGGGATATGCTCTGATTTTAAACCCTGGCAAAAAGTTAGTTAGTTAAGTTAAGTTAGTTAGTTAATTTTTTTTACGTTTTATTTTCTAATTTACTTAGATCATGACTGAATAATTGTGTAGTCTTACTAGGAATCTAGAAACGAAAACTATAGAGCCAGATAAAACTAAAGATGACAGGAAACCATAAAAATGAATTTTGTGAAGACCACATTTTTTTTTCTTTTCTTTTTAAAGACAACTCCCGCATTAGGAATATATCCTGTGTCGCGGGGGACTTTACAAACATACATGAAACAGGCACAAAGAACACCCAGATTCAGAACAACAATTTGTTGATCAAACAAAGTGTCGTCCCATGTGGGGTTTGAACAATACTCGCCGCATTAGGAAGCGGCGTGGCGACCGCTTAAACCACTGCGCCATCCGTGCAGTCTCTATCGCTGTAGGAAAATAAGTAGACTTGCAACGAATATTCGGTTACTATTCGGTATTCGGCTGCTTTTATTATATTCGGCCGAATACCGAATATCTACATATTATTCGGCCGAATACCGAATACTTAAATAATATATATTGTCATTGAGAAATAATTGGTAAAATGAAAAATTAAAATCGATTGATTACGTATATATTCATATTTTCATTTCTGTTATAATCATTTAAGTACATAATCATATTTATGTACATAATCATCTTCTGAATAGGAAAAATGGAGGATTCTATGTATTTGAATTATTGTGGTAATCAAAATTTAGAAGGGTAAGGTTCTCATTTCTTTTATAATCATTTATTAAGTAGTCATTGGTACATAATTTAATAATTTAATTCACGTCTGTACAAGTTTTTGGCGCTAAAATCCAGCCGAATACTTTTGCCTAATATTCGGCTATTCGGTCAGGGGCCTCGCCGAATATTCGGTATTCGGTATACTGCCGAATATACTATTCGTTGCAAGTCTAAAAATAAGCCTTTTGCATAGATAGTTAGCCAGTAGCATGGAAGCCAATCCGTATTCAAGACTATGATAGTAGTTAAAAGATTACAGAAATGAGCGAACAGTGGTAAAAAACATTCAAAGAAAACTTAACACAAGACCATCTGATCCCTTACTATGCAGACGTACGTACGTACGTAAATATTTCTAAATACATATAAAACATACAACATTACACTCAGACACAGAACAAATCACCGAGCTCAGTATACAAATATTTGTCCTGGGTGGGAATCGAACCCACGACTTCCAGGGTTAGCTTCCAAAATCGGCAGACTGAGCTACTAATAACTTAATTATTTTAGATTACGTACATTATACTGAATTACCTTGTTTATCTTTTTAATTATTATTTTATTTGTTTTTTTTTTGTGTTGCCTATAATTTAGTCTTCGCTTTTATTTTTTGCTGACACTGCTGTTCAGATCAACTGGGAATATTATGTATAACTGTGGTTTATTATTAGGTTATTTATATGTGGAAGCTTTTTATTAGCAATTTAAGCGTTACTCAGCCGTGTATGTTAATATTAGTCTGTAAGCTTTCCTAAGATAAATAAATAAATAAATAAATTATTATAGATAAGTTTCAAATAATATATTATGTTCAATTAAAGCAATGTCCTTTATGTAGTTCAGATTTCAATGGTATATTATAGGAGGGTTCAATAACTTTTCATTCACATTGTAATTTTCTGGTAACATATGAGTCATTGCCAACTGCCATATTTACGCAAGCCGTGTTTCAATGATGAAACCATCAATGCTGATGTCGCGACATGTAACTAGTTTTTATATGTACTGTTTAATAATAGTAGTTTTTTTTTCTAGATAAAATAAAAAGTTACTGAGAATTTAGGTAGATAATTGTGGAATCTTCTATCCATATAAAAAATCAAAAATATTAAACAAAATAATAGTTTTAGAAAACTAAAAAACATTAGGTGCTTGTTGTCAATAGTAAAAAGCACCCCACGTTTTTTTTTATATATATATATATATATTTTTTAAATTAGTGTATTGTCATCGGTCCTCGATATATCTACAAAGTTTGAACGAATTCTGACCGTTTAAAGTCAGTCAAAATCACGCCCAAAGGAGTCGGTTTCAAACAAACGTACAAGTGAAGCTAATGTAAAGCGTGTAATTACTAGCTCTGACTGATTGATTCATCAATGCAGACCCTAAGCTGCTTTGGCTATGATCTTGAAATTTTAGCACCTGATGCCTTTTACGTTGTAGATTAAGATTTTTTGGGAGTTTCACTCCTAAAGGGATAAAATAAGGGATAAAAGGATGTTTGAAAGTTCGTCATTTTCAAAGACGAAATCTATTTATATATAAGAGATTTCCACGTATATAGTCACTCATCACGATATCTCTGGAACCATTAGAGCTAAAGACTTGAAATTTTGGTAGGAATATTCTTTTCACCGAGTAGAGGTCAGCTAAGAACGGATTTTAACAAATTAAAATAAATAAATAAATAAATAATGTAAATAGCAAAACAACGTTTGCAGGGTCAGCTAGTAAGATATAATTACGAGAGCTTAGCCAAAGGCAAAAGTCCTATACAAAGATATTGGATAATATAACTAGTTACGTACATAAATTTTTAAAATTCTCTCTTCTACGATAGACAGATGGATGGACAAAGGACGGAAATTTAAGAGAATATCCTGAGATAATACATATCACTACGTAGTAGTTCTAAAGTTCTTTTTGTGTTATGTTAGAGGGGGCAGACGAGCAGACGGGTCCGCTCGAAAAGTGACCATCGCCTCTAATGAAGGTCTGCAAATTAGAAGTTGCCGGCCTTTTAGGAAAGAGTACGCTCTTTTCTTGAAGGTTTGAATCTTAATTTTTAACTGAGAAGATGTATAAATAAGTTAAGTACTCACCGTCTCCGGACTGGTTGCTGCTGTGCGCGTGGTACTGCTCATCTGCGAAGTCATACTCTACGTCAGATCAGACACATCTGCTCTCAACAGTATTACAGTTTGGGGTAAACTTTTTACATTGAAAGAAAATGCATTTTTGATTTTTTTTTTTTAAATAAAGTAAGTGGGCAAGTGACTATCCGTGTTAAGAATACGGTGTGTCACGGCCTCTATTTATCCGGTGGGTATTGTAAGACTTAGGGTACAAACTACGCAGGACTGTTGTCCTGCACTGCGCTGCAAAGATGAGGAAAACTTGACACAAACCCTATACCAACCAACCAACCTTAGGCCAAAACCTCCTTTCTGAGGAGAGGCCTATGTAAAGCAGTGGATCATTAAAAGCTGTTGATGATTGATGAAGTGACTACCTCCGCTCATTTACACTTGCAGCTCAAGAGTTGCAAGTGCCTTTTGAGTCCCCCCTAAAATCAGGTGGGAAGTGTTCGAAATTTTATTTTAATTTTAGTGTGAATTTACTGGTCCCAGTAGCTGGTGATATTATGGATTATTAAAATTGTGCAACTTCAAATTCTTTTTGTAAATTTATGCATTAATTAACATATTAAAATTCATAATAATAGTTAGATAAAACAGAAATATGAGGAAACATGCTTTTATTATTGTATTTTAAGCAAAATGAATTAATTAAAGACAAGTAACATATATTTTGAGTTGCAGGTGTCTATGGGCGGCGGTAGTTGCTTACCATCAGATGACCGGTCTGCTCGTTTGCACCCTTATACCATAAATAAATATATATTTTTTTAATTTCAGGTTTCAATATGGCGAACACATATCTATTTGTCAAAACTAAATAACAATCCCTTTTTACCAAAGAAAATAACCACGTATTAAAAAAAAAATGAAGTTAACAGATCACATTAAATTTTTCTTTAATAATTTACTTTTAATTAAAAATAATTATTGTCAACTCACCTCCATTCCGATGGTCGTTACTTATCAACTCCTGGCTCTGCAGGGTTGGTGCATGAATCAGTACCTTCTGCTGTGGACTGTGAGGATCTAATCCCTCTACCTCCAGCAATGGAGCGTGAGGCTCGTAAGAGTGAACGACCAACTGCGGCGCGTGAAGATCCATCCTTAACGCATCCCCACCCAACAGTTCCAAATTTGAATACACAATTTTGAATTAATTGCACTGTTAAATAAAAAAAAACGGTCCACTAAATGTCACTTTTCAGTTCTAAATTCAATCTTTAAAGAAAATTAACACTTTCAGTTCACAATTGAAGTTTTTACACAGAATAAAATCTTTTTGAATTTCAAAATTGGTTTTAATTATAATTATAAGTATTTTTTTTTATCCGGTTTTGGCAGTAGACAATGTGGCACTTTTTGTCGTTGCTTTCAATGTTCGATGTGGCTTCTGTCATGTAATTACAGTTTTTTTTTTCTACAATTGGCACTAAATTTTGTTACTAAGATCTAGATTAGTAGTTTTTTACGAGAATTTTTTCGGAGTATTCTTATAGTTGAGAGTTTTGACACTTTTTGTCACATGGTCCTGTTGATGTAGCTCGGTCTCATCGGCTTTTCTTGCGAATCTTTTGACTTTTTAACATCATTGTACCTGTAAACAAAACATTTTTTTAACGTTTGCCTCTATACCCACATTTTTTTATGGTAAATAATTAGGGCTTAGGGGGAGGTAGAGGGTCGTTTGGATCTCCAACAACCTCACTCACTGTTTTATGTCCGCCGTAGTATCACTCCGATTGCACTGGGCCATTTGTGTCTAAGAATTTCTTTGGGAAATATTTTATTTTTAATCATTTTTACCTCACCATTATTATCTTCATCATTTATTCCTGCAGTGATATTCTCTAAAGAAACAGCCTCACGTACAGCACTGTCAGACTAAGTTACTTTTAAATTCGACTCTAAGGCGCTACCACATGGTTGAATTTCAAACTACGTTAGTTTGAAATTCGACTCTAAGACGCTACCACAGGGTTGAATTTCAAACTAAGTTACTTTCAAATTCGACTCTAAGGCGGTACCACAGGGTTGAATTTCAAACTAAGTTAGTTTGAAATTCGACGCTGTGACATCGCTGTACGCAAGGCGGTTTCTTTAAAGAATGGCATTGCTGATTCTATTTTGTCTACGCATGCACTTAAATACTCGTAATCAAATAATCTCTTAATAATTGGTTGCAAAGTTTATCTGTCAAGAGTACAGTAGACATCTGCTAAATTTATACTCATGTTTTTTTTTTGTTAGAGGGGGCACCTGATGGAAAGTGACCATCGCCGTGATTAGTTCCACGCTCCACAAAACAGAAGATCTTTGTTTACCAGGATTTAGGTTTTTTTCTAATCACATTACAAAGTTATTTAAGATTTAAATAATATGGAGTCTGCTATTACCAATACTGATATTCACCAGTAAAAATTTACCATCAGATGGTCTGTTTGCTAATTAATAATTATAATATAATAATATTAATATTTTCATACATTTCACACACGGCCGCCTGATCCCTGTACAGAGCCTGTACTGTGGTAACCAGACAGCTGATAAACATACTTATATATTTCTAAATACATACATATTAAAGATAAAGTACACCCAAACACAGAACAAATGACCGTCATCACACAATTATTTGTCCTGGGTGGGAACCAAACCTCTGGCTTAGCAGTCAGGGTCACTAACCACTAGACCAACAGGCTTACTTATGAAAATAAAACAGATGTATTTTCATTTACAAACAAATTGTGTAAAATGAATTCAACCTCCACAGCTTAAACATACTACGCTGCAACACCGATTAAGTGAGTTGCGCGTACGCAGATAAATCACAGCGGCTTCCGTTTTGCAAATAAAATGTGTATCTATGTATTATTTAAAACAACCGGGTTCGTGCCCCGGTAAGCCATTGTTTTGTGTTTTACGTAGATGTGAGAATGGAAGAGAAATGGATATGGTATCTAAAAATAGCAGATACTTTGATTAAAAATGGTAGAAAGAGCAGATCCTGATAAATGAGTGTCAAGAAAGAGAGGTCATAATGTCCCTTCTGCAGTCATTTAAAGCAAAATTATTTTTTAATGGTCTTTAACATGTAAATGTAAAAAAAATACAACATAAATATTTTTGCGTTATATCACGAATAAACCAAAAAAGAAAAACATAAGTAATATTCTATTAACTCAATAATATTAGTACTTTTTTTAACACAAATTATATATTTATATAAAAACATATTTTTTTTAGTCCAGCTACTAAAAATAACCTTTTCATAAAAATAAGCGTTTGAAACAGGTTTTTTTAAACCTACCATTAGCGGATACTGCTTTTAATACAAGACGAAGAATATATTAACAACTGTTGCAATAATAAGGTTTGGATGATATATTTTGTTATAATATAATTAAAAGGTATCCTACGCGTACAACGTTACACTGTACCACCGAGTAGAGAGCGTAGCCCACAGACAATATAAATTATCAAGTGTCATAACTCGGTGTGTTCGTGGGTCACTGCTGTGGATCCTGGTGTACAGGAGTTACAGCGTGTGGGATTAGTCCAATATAAAAAGACAATATAAATTAGTCTATATTTGGAAGGCGCGAAATTTAGGTTGCACAGATTATTTAATACATACATACTTTAACAAAAACTTTATTTTGATAATAATGTATAAATTATTTACGATAGTAGTTCTGCAAACATACCATATCTAAATCAACCTAGTTTCTTGGCACCATTCCAGGCAGATCGTTTTTCATTGCTGCCGCTCTGGAGGCTTTGTTCTTCACTAATGTTTTCAGTTGCATTTGCTTAAAATGTAATGTTAACTTAGCTACATTCAAGCAATACATTTTGAAAGTTTTGTTATGTTAGGTTAATAGTTTTTATTCTTCATCATCATCAGCCTATTCAGTCCACTGCTGGACATAGGCCTCTCAAATTGCACGCCACTTAGATCGATTTTTGGCTTCTCGCATCGCTTCATTTTTATTCTTAGTGGTGTAAAATGTTTTTGTTTAAGATAATATGCTTTCTATTTCTTTTTGTTTGGAAAGAATACCACCAATTCAGTTATATATTAGTTATTGACGACCGGATGGCGCAGTGGTTTGTGTAACGGACTGCTATTCGGTCGGTAAAGGTCGCGGGTTCGATTCCCGCTTAAGTCAAACATTTGTGTGCATGTACATTTAATGTTTGATTTGGTCTGGGTGTTTCTATGTATAATATGTTTGTTTTTACAAAAAAAAAGTATATAAGTATTTATATCAGTTGTCTAGTACCCATAGTACACGCTCTGTTTAGTTTGGGACTAGATGGCGTTGTGTGAATGTGGTACAATATTATTATTATATTACTGGAATTCTTGTAAATTCCTCCGGCTAAGAAGAATGTTTGTAGTAGGAATGACTCTACGTCGTTTATGTAATGGTTGGGTTTCGAACCTGTTACTACTAAATATTTATGATTAACTTCACCCAACAGACAACAACGCACACCTAAAAAGGTGATATATAGCGGCTCAGCGTATATAAAATTAGTTTCTAAGATCTTTGCATAACATGTATTACGCAAATAAACAAATTGATTTGGTTTGATATGATAACTCACGCACGCTAATTCTGATCCCAAACTAGACAGAGCTTACGGTAACCAGACTGCAAATAAATACATATATTTCTAAATACATATACATATATTACATACAGACACCATGCTTATCAACCAATTATTTGTACTAGGCCAGAATCGATCTCTCGATCTCTGGATTAGCAATATGGTTCACCTCCCTACTCTTCTCCCATATGATTCGTCAGGATATACCCATAACAACAAACATTAATATACTTAAAATTATAACAGAATAACTTTGAATTATTTTTAAACCCGAATTAATTACAAATACCTGTTTTAAAACAAAAACAAAACAACAAAAGATGTTGAATTTATTTTTGTTCCATTACAGAGGGCTTCCACTGTTAACTTTGGTGTGAATTTAGTGAATCATACCAAGCCTTTGTTCTGGTTTCCTGCATTCCCATAGTTGGAAATTAAATTAACTTTCCTGGATACATCAAACTTGTTTTCAAAATACTGTGGTATGGAAATGCAAAGTACTCGTAGTTGTTCAATCCCAGAAACAACAGGTTCGAATTGAAAAAAGTTTTCAGTATCCTTGCCAAGGAAGACTATATAACATCATGATACGATAACTAGGAGTCGAGCAACAATGAAAGACGTTGCAAAAACAGGAAAAAATTATTCCTTTTATTTATTTATTTACAACTTTATGCACTTGTATACAACGGTGGGCTTAATGCCCAGGGCATTCTCTACCACATCTGTCACCCTAGCAGAAGCAAGCCGGGGCGCTTCGCAACGCGCTCGCTTCCAGGGAGCACAGGGAAAATGGGGTTCCCACACGGGGGGGGGGGGGGGGGGGGGTCGTCTACTCGTCTGTAGATGACCCGAGGTATGTCGGGGCACCAGGGACTTCCTTTCTATGGTATACCTGGTTCCCCGGCTATTAGTACCCGAGACGGCGTACGGTTTTAGTCGGTTCGAGTCCGACATGCCACCGATAGGTGGTATCCGAGGGGATTTCCGCACGGAAAAAAAAAGGGCATTCTCTACCAGCCAACATTTGAGGGGTGTAGAAATCTGGTGAGGTAGGTCCACTGAGGTTGCAGTTGCTATAGCAGTTATAACTAACATATACAATTACACACATTCATACACACATATACATAATATAGATATAAATACACATAAAATACATCAACTTTATATTCGTACACTGTAAATATGGAGGTGTACTATTGAGTAGGTAATTCTGCCAGCTGAAGAAGGAAGTTACGTACATTCTTTTTAAATGTGAAACGGTTTGTGGACATTCTGATCTCAAGTGGGAGCGCATTCCAAAGCTGTACTGCTTGCTTGAGGGTCGCAGACGTAGTTAACCAAGTACACTAGTTTAAAATATAACCTTTTGTGTTTAGTATGTAGCCTTTTATGACAGAAAGACGGAAGGTTTATCTGGATCGGGTCTTAAAGTGGTCAGGCATCCAAGTTTATTTTTAATCAATATGTTCCCATAATAAA